AAGGGCCCCCATTCCATTTGTATCACTATAAATACCCCCATTGTATAATGTCAAAGGACTAATGCAAGAATCCATACAAAAGACTACATTTGCTCAACTCTCTCAGTTACTTGCAATATATAAATCGAAATTATACACTTTTACACATACATTTACGAGCACCGGTTGGTAATTATTGTACAATCGGATTATGAACAACTCGCCGGATTCCGAACGTCACCGTCCCGCATCATTGGGCTACTCCCACGCCCCTTTGAATCGCTTATTTTAGACCGTCCACGTGTCTTAGCGTGTTGGACATTCGCCCACGCAAGCGCGGGTGGGACCGGCATCTGTTGGCGCACTTTTTGGGGTCAACAGTGTCATTTTACCATTCTAGAGAAATTGAATTGATGTTCGACAATGCCTCTTTTAATTATTTCGAGCTCGTTATCTTCCTCTTCTTGTGAATTTATACAATCAAATCTATAAAGAACTCGATAAAGAGAGACGTAAAAGACATATAAGATCTGATAACGTTATTTTATAAGAAATAGAATTGAATATATCATTAGTTGAATTAATATAATTTTGTAAATATTAAAAAAATTAATTATAATATGGAACCTGGGAATCGAACTGAACCGAATACCCAAAAATTTGGACTCCGTTCGATTCTTGTTAGAATCGAACCAAACCAAACTATTTCTACGCATATTTTTCTCCGAAATCATGTGAAAGAGCGCATTTTGAAATTTTAATTGATCATTAATGTATAAATCCAATTAAGCCTGAAAAGTCAATGCGTTTTTTCTCAGATTAGGTTGCAGTCAATACCAACTATTTTGTCACTCTCTTTCAATTTTATGCAAGTAGTGAATTTGATATAAGATAGAAGTATACAGTATTGGTTAAAATATTAATAATAATAATTCTCTATTCTTGTTTTTTAAGATACATTAATAGTGGACGAGGACATTTTGTATGCGAGCACAAATTTAAATTGATTTGGTGTCAGACAATTCCTTGAATCTTGACAGGGAGGCTAAGGTTATAACATGGAAAATGGCAGCAATCTTCTATTAAAAATAAAGAATAAGACTCAAAAAGAGTATTGTCATCCATAGACTTTTCTAATGGTTTAAATAATTAACATTGTAAAATGATCTTGAAAACGAAAGTAGTAATCTTGGCTGCTTCGGACCTCTACTTTTCTTATATATATTTGACATCAGAATGCCTGCTTCGCAAAAGAGCCTTCCTTCATCAACCAATAAAGACTACACCTCGCCCTCCGGAGCATATCTCAGTGGTGCAAAGGACAAGGGCGAGATATACTCAGCCTTACTGACAGTCGAAATGTAAGGGTTCGATTCCTGAAATATAAATTGAGACTTTTTGTGGATATCAGTATACAGCAACTCTTGTTCTCTAACCTGTTGGGACACATCCCGCGATTAACCTCTCTCATGATGCTCCAGAGGCGGGACGATGGGGGACCCTTAAAGTTGGGGTTCAACCTTTTAACAAAGACCACACCTCTAGAGTCAGCATCCTACCATGGAACTGCTTTTTTTATATTTATCTCTTATTTTGTATTGATTTACCCTAAAAAGGTAAACAAAATACTTCGAATTTTATTGTGACTTTACTTTTGTTTTTGTGGTATTTAGATTTATATTTTGCTACATATAATTTGTTTTATTTGATTGTCAGTAGAAAGATATTTTATAATCGATGAATTAATAAATAAAAGCAAACAGTTATTAGGAAATTGCAGCTTAAAATCAAACCAAATTGTTTAGTTTCGATGTAAGATTTACTCAAACCGTTTTAAATATTTTAGTATGAAAATATGTAAAAACTCGTTCAAATTGAATCATTTACACCCTTGCGGCTTTACATATACAATTAAATTTATTTAAAAGAAAACAAAAACTAACGGATGAAGACTTTTCGTAAATGAATTTTGACAAATTGTATGTAATATGGAGATTGGCAGGATTAAAAAGGTGAAATTAAGGAATAAAAAGAAGTTGATTTTTTTTTTTTTTTCACAAAATAAGGAATTAAACTTTAATAGATCAAATTATAATATTCCATCCAGACACATAGTCATCTAATTACACTAATGGAGCACTACATATAATATTTTGTTCACTTTGACATACCAAACAAAAAATCTAGGGAAAATTGCAGCAGCGATCCCTAACCTTTTTTATTTTTGCAGAGTTTACTCTAACCTTCATTTTGTGCCAACAAAGGTCCATAACATTTCATAAATATGCACCCGAGGTCCATCTAGATGGAAACAGTCCAAAACATCGACAGTTAATCAGAAAAATTTCTTAAACTATCTGCTACCGCGACGATTTTATTGGATGTTGTTTCCTTAATTTTCTCTATCAACTGATGGTGTTTTGGACAATTTTTGGCCAGATGAACCTCAAGTACATATTTATGAAATGTTAGGAACCTTTATTGGCACAAAATGAAAGTAAGGGTAAAATTTGCAAAAAATGAAAAAGATTAGGGATCGTTGCTACAATTTTCCCAAAAATCTATGTGAATAAGCAATATTATGATTTAATTATATACATACCAATAGAGTGTTTTCAGAATTATTTAAGTTATAATCAGGGCTGACCCTAAGATTTTAAATGCCCTGTGTGACATTTTAAAATGATGCTCATTTCATGTAATTAAAAATATATATTTCATTGCAATATATATATATATCTTATCCATTTGACCGTTTCCCATGGGTTAAATGGTGGAGAGAGAGAAATAGTGAAAAGTGATCTAGAATTAGCTTTTCAATATTTGCTTTAATCATTTGGATTTTGGTCTGCTTATTATCTTGTTGGATTGATAATTTGTTAATGAAGTTAATTGGGTAGGTTAAATAGATGGTTTAATTTATTTTTTTCCGAAAGCAAGATATTTTAAAATTAGAAAAATAAATATATTATTTTTAAACAATATGTTAAATTGAAAAATATTAACGTAATATAAATATTTTTTTTTACTCTCTTTTCATAAATATTGTGAGCTTTAACTAATTATAAAAGTATTGAATTTTAAAATTAATAAAATATTTTAAATATATAACCATACATATATATATATACACTCATAAAAAAAAAAAATTGAGGCCCCTACAAAGCTAAGATCTTGTGCAGTCACTCAACTCGCTAGCCACCTCTGATTATAATGCCCCTTGACTAGGACTAATAACATAGCATAGCATGCTTGCTAAACCTAAATTTTACGAGTAATATTATTTAGTACTGACACTAATTTAAATAACAATTACATGACACGATAGATTGATTTAAATACAATATTAAATAATTTTTTTAATTGAATCTATCATTTAGCACTGTTCAAACTGCTTTATTCTTTTCAAACTCTATAAGTCTATATAGAAAATGTTTCTAGAAGCCCGTCGCCGTTGGCCAATTGGGTCCTAACCCAACAAAGAAAAACTACATACGGACAAGCAACACTTGTGACATCCCTCCAAATTTGTGGCCCAAAGAGCGGTGAAAGTGAAATACCTTCTAGAAGACATGGCACGTGTCATGCATATTATGCTTTTATTTGATGCAGATTAAAATTATATTTTTATTAAATTTGGATAAAGGTTGCTGAAATTCATGGTTTGAACGTTGTGAATTCTATGACATGTAAAGTTAAAATTAATTGTTAATTTTAATTTAAAATTAAATTTTGATTTTAATTTACACAAAATAGAGGACATGTTTGTGACGTAAATGAGATTTTAATCCCTGTTTGTCATCATTTGCTTTACATTTTTTTCCATTATTTTTTTACATTGCTCAATTTTAACCACACGTTCTTTATTAAAATAATATTACGTATATATAAAAAAAAATTCATTCCTTTTTAACAACACATTCTCCATCAAACAAGGCCTTAGTATCTTATAGTGTTCTCTCTTGAATTAAAATTATTAATCGTCTTGATATTATGCCTCTTTTTGGTGCATATTAAAGAGTTTTTATGGGAAAATGAGACTTGAGATATTCTATAGAACGTGTGGTTAAAAGTAAGAAAGTTTTTTGAGTTTATGCATAAAATATTTTATTATAAGAATGTCTAATTCAAAACAGAGTTATGTAGAAAAATAATTTTTGGAGAATGATAAAAAAACATGGGCTATATTGTCTCATCAACTAGTTAGATGATGTACTAGATATTTTATTACGCAAATTGAAATGACAAAAAGAGCAATTTTTTTTAACATATTGTTTGGGAATCACTCTGAAGTAGCAAATACATGTTATCTGTACAATTGTAAGAGTTTTATTGGTTAGCATACACTAGTTCCGCTCAAAGGTCAATAATCTCCTTTGGCATACGATCAAATCAAATCATCACTATTTTTATACTATATACATCTAATTCTAAGCCTCCCGGAGCATAGTCTAGAAGTGCAAGGGATAAGAGTGAAATTATCTCATATTTTACTGACAACTGCAGTGTGGGAGTTCGATTCTTAAGATATGGAATTGGACTCCTTGTAGACGTAATATACAGGCAGTTCTTGTTCTCTGACCTGTTGGGACACATCCCACAATTTATCTCCCTCACAAGGCTCTAAGGACGGGACGATGGGGACCGTCAAGATTGGAGTTCAACCTTTTTTTTTTTTTTTTTTTTAACATCTAACTCTAAATTCATGGTAGGAAACCCTTCCTAACCTATGCTCTCAGTTCCCTTATATACTACCAAGCGATTGTATGACAATACATTTTAACTAATTATATATTTAATATATTTTATTTTGCCAGCAGTGGTTGGATGGAGCAAAAGGCAAGTAAAAATGGCTTAAAAGCGTAATCGGAATCCAAAAGAGATCCACCAATCTTCTAGAAGCAAATTCAAAGTGCCATGTCAGCACCTACTAATCCATCCACACTTCGATATCGTGTGTCTGTGGGCCCCACTTTGCCTCAGGATACCCCACCTCTAACCTTCATATATACCCCTCTTTCAATATGCATTGCAGTCACTGAATCTATCTTCAATGCTAGGAACATTAACTCTCGGCCACCGCAATATGCTTATTCGCTCGGCTGTGGCGGAGGCGCGGCCGACGGCGGTTATTGAGCGAAGGAGGAGTCTGTACGAGGTTCTCAGAGTCAAACAGAACGCTTCCCAAATGGAGATCAAAGTGGCGTACCGGACGCTTGCTAAGTTGTACCACCCGGACACTGCCTCGCATTTAGTTAAATCCTCATCAACGTCGACCGGAGATTTCATCGAGATTCACAAAGCATACTCCACGCTATCGGATTCCGACGCTAGGGCTGTGTATGATTCGAAATTGAGCGTGGGGTCACCACGGCGAAGGCCTTCTTGGAGTGGTTCTGGGGTACGGTTTTACCAGACCCGAAGGTGGGAAACGGATCAGTGCTGGTGATGGTGAAAAGTGAAAACCCCGTGTAAATTCTCCTCCCCGCTTCTTCCTTTTTCTGGCAGCGGTAATAAATGAATTATCAAGGGAAAACTGATTATTGATTTCCTTAGATTTCACTCTTGCAATTCGACAAACTTGACCGTGCATGACTTTGTCATGATATATGCTCGATCAACTGGATACTTGGTCGAGTTGGTCGGGTTAAGTGCCATTATTTTTTAAGTTTATTGAGTTAATATGTTTAAACTAGAAAGATTATATTCACTAATATTAGGCTTTTGGCTGCTATCTAAGAATGAAATTTGGATGGAATTTTCTCTAACTAATTTTAAGTACTATACAATTCATATATTTGGAACTTGTTGAAGGTTATCTCCCAGGCCTTTATTCAGTAAAATTAAGATGGGTGATTGGAAATTAACAATTCAAAACAAAAGAAAAGGAAAGGAAAATTATAAGCTTAAATATGAAGCAATAATATCTACCTTTGTTACTCCCCAACCTTCAAAGTACAATCAACCAAATTGTCAAACCATCAATAAATCCGTTTAAGTTCAAACAAGCAACCAAATTTCTGCATTGTAATTCCAACTCTTTTTTTTTTTTTTTTTAATGAAAATGACGTTTTTGGTAGAAAATAGGTTCCAGAAACATGTGTGTAGAATATTAAGATTACAGATTTCAGTCAAATTACGCAACTCAAAATGCAAATAGATTTATTTGCCCTGACTGCACAAAACTTGGACTAAGATAAGAAAATCAAACTACTATTTTATCTTTTTTTTTTTTTATTCCCAAAAACGCCATTTCTAGGTAAAAGTTGATCAAAAAATAATTACACATTATGATGTAACAGTTCACAAATATCAGCAACGTTATCTTGTACTTCCAATCTTTCTCAACAATAATGAAACCGGAACTTTTGAAATTTAAACAGTAGTAAAAAAGAAAAAATGAAGATAGAATATTATGCACCGTATCCATTGCAGTGTGGCGAACATGCACAGTTACTCCAATTTTTCAACAGAAAATTCGACTGAAGGGGAGATTAAGCGAGCAAACAAAATAAACGACGGCCAAAATACATTCAACAGAACAGAAATTTTCTATTCTATAATTATAGAAGTCAAGTATACAAACTAAATTGATATCAACAGTAAAGGTCCAAACAAAACCCATTATGAAATACCTAAATATCGGCTGCAAATTCTACATATATTTGAACCCTTTGGGAAAGAAAGAGTAATCTCCACATTAAGCAAGCGTCTGGTACCCTTGCCATGAATATCCCTAGAATTTTTGTACAAACCTTCCCGTTTCAACATAACAAAAATACGAAGTATAAAATGGTATCATTTGGGGGTCATAAGCATGGAGTTGATAACATGCATGATCAGACGAATGATTGAAAGTTCGGGACCTGTTGTGGTAGGGAGGTTCCGATGATGATTCAATATTTGATAAACTTGCTCAAAGATAGGTTGGACATGCACCACAATCATTGGGTCAGTTGGATTTATGGCGGACAGCACCTCGCGCATCCAAGGGAGTTTCTTATGTGTTTCGTTGCTAATATCATAAGCCAACTGCTGAACAAGAGAAATGAGTACACCTTGGCTCAAAGGGATGGGATTCATTGACAAAATTCCCTGTAGATCAACCTGGTACAAGGCAAAACAAGCCCAGAAATATTTCAACTCAAGAATCACACACCAAATTTCGTGGTTGTCCATAGACACATTTGATGAAACAATCAATAACCAAATAGTATTTGAAAGGCACGCGTTCCAAAGAGGACAGCAATATGTCAATGGAACCAGCTAAGGGACACAAATTATTGACTGTCCACCTAAAAGAACCACGAAAATAACTGAAAATAGTGTACTACAAAATCATATTATGTAACAAAAGGAATTGATTTTTTTTTTTTTCATCAAAAGGCAAAGAGGAAGGGAACTAACTACACTATTCTCTGCAAGTGTGAAAATTTAAATGAAGCTTATATAACCAAAATCCTACATGGTATTATCATGCTTCAGCCATGCAGCCATTGAGTATAGAATAACCTACAGCAGACATTTCATTTTCTTAATATATATTACAGGCACGGAAAAGAAAAGATTCAGTTAGCATAACCCTCACAAACTCCAATTATTATCACTCGAATGCAAACTACAATGTATACAAGCATATCCGAGGTGTGTAATTTAAAACATATAGCATACCTGAGAACATAACCATGATACAACAGAAACGTCGCTTCTTTGCAGTGCTGCAGTGAAAGCCTCCTCGTACTTACGCTCAGCTACCAATCTTGATAGCTCTTTTGTTGGATCTGGAGGTACCTCAAGCTATTACAACAGTAAAATTGTCAGAATGCTTATAAAGACAGTTATGGAAGCTGCAAAGAAAATCATTCTTGCAGCTTTAATTGCTTACTACAAAACTGCCTAATGAGTAAAAAAGAACCGAGCAAACCTTCTCATGACCACCCAAAGGGCCATTACTCAGTTGGCTAATCAATGGATTTGTTGCTTTTGAATTTACTCCAGCCATAGCAAGAGCTAACAACTTTCTTTGACCGTCAAGCAACTCGGTGCTTAGGGTTTGAGTCACCGACGATGCTGAATTGATCGCATCCTAAAAGGTTGGGCTCATATTAGTGGAACATATAAGGTAGAAAAGTAATACAAACAGCAGAAATTGGGAAAACTGACAGACAAAAAAATAAATGCTCAATCATTATGAACTGTGTGAGTGGGTGATGCGTCTAAAATTAGTAAGACGGACAAGAATCAGCTTCATATGATATCAAATTCTGTACCCTCAGAGCAAGTGCCATTGGCGAATATGACGACTCAATCTGTTGCTGAGCTACAGTTGTATGTTCAACCATTCCTTTCTGAAATGCGGCATCCAATTGCTCAAACATGGCCCTGCATGAAATCTCAAAGGCAGGGATCACGGAAGCTTCCAAACTGGACTTCAGAGCTTCCTGCATAACAAATTAAGAGAGTTTGAACCAAAATTCTTAAAATTCATTTGGCAAGACAAAACTAATATTTGTGTCCAATCACCCTTCGTGTTTATAGATGGTGGGGGAGATGATGGGAAGCGAGTAAAGAGTAGAGAGTTGACAAGTTATTCAGTAAAATTCAGTAGGCAGACACTAAACGATATAGTATCATCATGACTGAAATGATAAAGAATTGAGATAGGGCAACAACAGGAGGATAAAGAGAAGGTTACGTGAACATCTTCGCCGAGGGATCACCATAAACATTAGTAAAATTATTCTTTCTAATTCAAATATGGAGTTAAAAATACAATGCATCCTGCCACGACGCATAGGGTAGGAAAAAGATAAAGAAAAAAGACAAGAAATAGCTAAATTGAAAACATAGAAAGAAATTCCAAGTAAAGAGGACAAGTTCCATGCAGGCAAATAGTGAATTGAAATCTTTATACAATTAAGTGAAGAGCCAGTTTGACCGTCTTCCTCTCCTTCTTACCTGAAGAGTTTGCTTGCCAGAAGTTTGAAATTGTGCTTGGATATGCCTAGCAACAGTAGCTTCAAGTTTAGAATTGACTGATTTCTCCAGCTGATTTACAGCTTTATCACCAACCCCTTTCTGATCACAAAAAATCAGATGAGATCCGGATATTTGGTTACATCTTAAGAGGACAGAAAAATCCAAATGTTAACCTGGAAGGTCTCCAAAATTGAGGTGGATACTGTTTTCTCAATAGAAGGTGTAATTGTGCGTGACACAGTTTGTCCCACTGCAGTTAATTCTTTCTTAACAGCTTTCTCCAAAATCGCAGGCAAGTCCTTGTTTAAGCAATTGCTGATCATATTAGTTAGTTGCTGCGTACGCTCCCATGATGCCTTTTCCTGTTTTGCATTCTCCTCCTGAAAATGAGCCCATAAAGCATCAGCATTAGCCTTGACAGCCTTTTCCATACTTCGTCCCAAGGCTGCTTCAAGTCTTCTGCCTTCTTTGGTAACTGGGACAGCAACCATCGTCGTCACCTGCTTCTGCATATCTTTTTGCATGGCCATAGCCTGCAGGGAAAACATGTGGTGAGAGATGTGCAAGTCAATATGCCTGCAAGAGGAGTAATGTACTCTTGGATGCAAGTAGTCATTGACCTATCTTGGACCAAAAAGTACTTGTACGCAAGAACGATAAATTGATTTGACTAGCAAGAAGTTGCCCAGTAACCTAACGCACAAGTGAATATATGCCTAACACGAAGTATGATATGTAAACCAAGCGTTCAGCTTTCTGATTTCAGTGTGTAATTGTCAATAACAAACTAATCTGGAGGGAAAAGAAAATATGACAAATATACCCTGAGCAATTACCTGATTAAGCATCTCTTGCATAGACAAAATTTGTGAAAATAAAGTTTCCATGGAAGGGTTACTTGAGTTGATGCCTGGTTCATTAGAGGAATCTGTTGAATTAAAAGCACTGGGTGATGGTGAAGATGGACCTCCTTGAGCACTTTTACCCTTTTGCTTTTTCCCTTTTGAATTTGATGGCGGTGGTTGTTGAACTGGCGTCGCTGCTGATGAATCAATAGCCTTTCTATAGACTTCCTTTGCAGAGTCGTGGATTTCTTCTGAGGTTGAAGATTGAGTAACTACCTCATTTCCACTGGACCCACCAAACTGCCTAGCTTCCTCCACCTTATAAGTTTCAGGTAACAGGGCACGAGAATCTCGAGCCATCTTCATTCCTAGGTCAGAGGCTTGAGAGCAAAAGTATTTCTCCTTGTTTTCTGACACAAAATTGTGCAGTTCATCGTGACTGACATCATCATTATTGTGACTGAATCCTGTTTCAGCCGCAACCTTGCCCTCCACCTCAACATTTCTTGTATCGTTACTAATCACCACATCCTGAATGTTTAGTTCACCCTCACTCTTGGGCTCATTAGCATGGCTCGCTTCAGATGATGAATTGGCCATCAATATTTCAGATGGAGTTACCAGATGAGTGGGGTGCTTAAACTTAATAGGGTGATTAGTGGTCATAGAAATATCATCTTGAGAAAGTTTATTTTTGTCCTTCCTTGAATCATCATCCAGTGAAGGAACATCGGACAAGTTTGCATGAATGGCATCCATTTGTCTATCAACTGAATAGTCAACAACTTTAGGATCAGTACCGCGGTCTTTGACCAGAAGACCTGGTTCAAAGCTGCCTGATGATGGACTCCTAAAACCAGAGAGTTCTCTAGACAACCTAGGGCTCAAAGGAATTGGAGAAGATGCCACAGAAGCATTAATTA